ATCAATTGTGTTTTGATGAGGGTACTAAGACCATCAATGGGGGAAGGGATAATCTCTTCAACTAATAGTGCTGGGACACTTGGACCTTGACATGCTAAATAATGAAGTTGGATCCCAGCCTCACACTATATACTACAAGTAACTGAAAATGGATCAAAGACCCAATTGTAACAGCCAAAACTCTTAGAAGAAGACATAAGGGTAAGTCTTCATGACTTTGAATTTGGTAATTGATTCTTAGAAAGGCACCAAAAGCACAAGCAGCAAAAGAAAAAATATAGCTAAATTGGACTCCATCAAAATTTAAAACTTTTGTGCATCAAAGGATACTATTAAGAAAGTGGCAAGAAAATCTAGAGAATTGGAGAGGACATTTGCAAATCCGATGAGGGCCCTAGTATTCATAATATATTAAAAACTCTTACAATTCAGCAATAAAAACCCAATTAAAATATGGACAAAGACTTGATTGGACAGTTCTCCAAAGAAGATAGAAAAATGGCCAACATACCTATGAAAAGATGTTCAACATCATTGGACAGTAGAGAAATGCAAATAAAAAACTACAGTGTGGTATCACTCCGTGCTTACAAGGATGGCTGTGATAAACAGAAAATAAGTGTTGGTGAGGGTGTGAAAGAATTGGAACCCTCAGGCTTTGTTGGTGAGAAGGGAAAATGATGTAGTCACTATGAAAAACAGTTTGGCAATTCCTCAAAAAGTTCAACATAGAATTACTATATAGCCCAGCAATTCTACTTCTAGGTATAGGTACCAAGTAGTTGAAGATCTATATTCAAACAAATACTTGTACACAAATGTTCATAGTCGCACTATCCACAGTAGGGAAAGGTGAAAACAACCCAAATGTCCATCAGTGGAAGAATGAACAAAATGTGATATATCCATACAGTGGGATATTTTTCAGTCTTAAAAAGGAATGAAGTACTGATACATGCTACAATACAGAAGAACCTCAAAATATCATGCTAGGGACGCCTGGGTGGCTCAGTTGGTTAAGTATCTGCCTTTGGCTCAGGTCACGATCCCAGAGTCCAGGGATCGAGTCCCCTGTTGGGCTCCCTGCTCGGACTCTCTCTCTCCCTCTCTCTCTCTCTTTCTCTGACAAATAAAATCTTAAAAAAAAAAATTTTTTTTAAATCATGCTAAGTAAAAGACGGATATAAAAGGTCACCTTTCATATGATTTACGTTTTTCTGAAATACCCAGAATAGGTAAATCCATAGGGACATAAAGCATAGTAGTGGTTGCTGGGGCTGAAGCAGGGGGGTGGCAGTGGCTACTTAATGAGTACGAGGTTTCATTTTGGGGTGACTGAAATGTTTTGGAACTAGGTAGAGGTGATAGTTGCACAATATTGTGAATATACTAAATGCCAGTGAATTGCTCACTTTAAAATCGTTGATTTTATGTTATGTGAATTTTTTTTAAATGACGTCATATCATTTTTATGATCTCATAAATAACGGTGGCTTTGCTGTCATAGTTACCTGGTGACTGTTGGAACCCATGTGCTTTACGGCGTTTGTCCACTAGGGAAGTTCCTTCCAGCTGTGGGCAGGAAAACTTGAAGATGGATGATCCCAAGTGGGTTTCCTTCTAAAATAACAATTAAGAAATACAGTTTTGCTTTTCCATTTTTATTTGTGGAAGCTGGTAAAACTCCTAGAATGGGCCCTGGGTGGTTTTAAAATATGATATGGACTAATGTTGGTTAGTTTCTTCATTTAACTTGAAAAATTGTGTTTAAAATAACTATATTATTTGGATATGGAACAGCTTTTGGTTTTATGAAGATTAAGAGCAATTTTAAAAGAGGAGTGCCTGGGCAGCTCAGTCGGTTGTCTCCTTTCAGCTTGGGTCATGATCCCAGGGTCCTGAGCTCTGCTCTGGCTCCCTGCTCGGGGGGATTCTGCTTCGCCCTCTCCCTTTGATCCTCTCCCCTGCTCCTGCGCTTGCTTAATCTCTCCTCCCTCTCAAATGAATAATAATAATAAAAAGAATTTAAACTATATACATGCAATTGCAATAAGATTTTTCTAGTGGTTTGCCACACTGCACTGCTAGAGATTTTTGTGACAATTTCTGAAACCATCAACCATCACATAATGCTTTATTGTCAGTGGAATTGGTGTCGGGCATAAGAAAGTTCTGTTTTCAGATCAAGCAGAGCTTGTGCAAAAACTAAAAATCTGAGTTTCTTATTTTGTAACTTCTTTGTTTTTTGAATGAAGGAATTTAGGTTAGATTTTGGCGAAATATCTGGCATGGAGAAGAGTTCTCAGAAATGTAGAAGTGCTTTGTCAATGATCGTGATGTTTTTCTTTATAATGAAATTGGTGCTTCTGTCCCATAGTTCTGCTTCTGCCCCTGTGTTGTTTGTGGGTTGTTTCTCCAGCAGATGTATTTATGCTTGTTGTCTTGCACACTCCCACCTGATTCCTTATAAGATCCAGAGTGCGCCGTCCAGCTAAGAGTTTGTAGACATGAAGCAAACAAAGCGAACTGATTTGTAGTGGATTGAATCCAGGGCTTTTGGCATCATTAGCATCGTGTCCCACTCAGCTGAACTAGAGTGTGAGAGAAAAAATGCTTTGGCTGAGCCAGGGCTTCACAATTTCAAAATGAGAAAGGGATCTGGTAAGCACAGCAAAGTACCTGGAGTAAATATAATATGCTGAAGATGTGGGTAAGTGTGAGTGTTTGGCTTATAATAATTATTGCTTTTGACTTCCACAAAATTAGGAAGATCTCCTTTTTGTTATGTTCACTGGATAATGCTTAATTTTTTTAAAAAAGATTTTGTTTATTTATTTGAGGGAGAGAGTAAGTGAGAGCACGAGAGGAGAGAAGGTCAGAGGGAGAAGCAGACTCCCTGTGGAGCTGGGAGCCTGATGCGAGACTCGATCCCGGGACTCCAGGATCATAACCTGAGCCAAAGGCAGTCGCTTAACCAACTGAGCCACCCGGGTGCCATGGATAATGTTTTAAAATAAAAGATCAGTTTTTAAGTTGTGTAGAATTCAAAGTTAAGTTTTTCAGTCAATTATTAATTAGGAAAATTTTCCCACAAGAGTGAATTTAACTGGAATTGGTGCTGTTCTCCCATGACAAGCAGTAGAAGAAAACGAGGTATGCTTCGTTTTCTTATGCTTACTGTGGGTTTCTGTTTGCCCAGGGACCCCGCCTTTGAACAGCAGCCTAGTGCATTTCCTTGCACAATTTACTTAACCTTTCCATGCCTTAGTTTCCTCACCTTGGGGATTAGAGTAATGGAATCTATTGCATATGGATGTTATAAAGAATGAATGAGTTAATATAGTCAGAGCTCTTAGAACAGTACCTGACACAGAGTAGAAGCTTGAGATGTGAACGTTAAAGACGGAAGAATAATGGTGAAGGATGAACGGGAGCTGCTTTGGTGAGGGAGGACTTATTTGCATGCACAGACACTTCTAGTCCTGACCCTTTCTTGTGTGCCAGTGGACTGCTCTGTCCGAAGTTCTGAGAGCCTCTGGTACGCTCACTTTAGGGCCACCTTCCTGCTAATGGGCATCTCAACCAAAGAGAATGCTTTGGGGGAAAAAAGAAGTAACTCAAAAGCAGTGGTTTTTCAACTGTTTCCCAAGAAATTTTAACATTGCATGCAGCGTCTCTCGTGGTTTGTTGAAAACACATAGTCATTGTCTCATGCATTTGCCGAGAGTTACTGTTTTTTTTTTTTAATTTTTATTTTTTTTTTAATTTTATTTTTTATAAACATATATTTTTTTCCCCAGGGGTACAGGTCTGTGAATCGCCAGGTTTACACACTTCACAGCACTCACCATAGCACATACCCTCCCCAATGTCCATAATAACCCCACCCCCCCAGCCCCCCTCCCCCCAGCAACCCTCAGTTTGTTTTGTGAGATTAAGAGTCACTTATGGTTTATCTCCCTCCCAATCTCATCTTGCTTCATTTACTCTTCTCCTACCCCCTTAACCCCCATGTTGCATCTCCTCTCCCTCATATCAGGGAGATCATATGGTAGTTGTCTTTCTCCGATTGACTTATTTCGCTAAGCATGATACCCTCTAGTTCCATCCACGTCGTCGCAAATGGCAAGATTTCATTTCTTTTGATGGCTGCATAGTATTCCATTGTGTATATATACCACATCTTCTTTATCCATTCGTCTGTTGATGGACATCGAGGTTCTTTCCATAGTTTGGCTATTGTGGACATTGCTGCTATAAACATTCGGGTGCATGTGCCCCTTCAGATCACTACATTTGTATCTTTAGGGTAAATACCCAGCAGTGCAATTGCTGGGTCATAGGGTAGTTCTATTTTCAACATTTTGAGGAACCTCCAGAGAGTTACTGTTTACCCATCGTTGATGCTGGGAAGAGTGGGACGACATCAGGGTAAGAGTCAGAGACAAAGATGGTGATAACATGTTTCCTCGGCCTGGAACTCACAGTCCAGACCATTTTTTTGTACCACTAGAATCCATGCCAAGAAAGCCCCAGGGCTTTGAATGGAAGAATATCAGAAAGCAACCCATTTTTAATGGTGTGCTTTCTTGGAGTTGTAAGGCCACACATAGGTTAATTTTCTCATCTCTGTTAAGCCATCTCATATGTGGCTAGAAAGAGGGACAGGGAAACTCACTGGTGTAAAGAGTGTTAAAATTACTCATTTTATGAATCATCTTATTCTGATCTATTATCAGAGAGAATTGAGTTTGTCTTATTTCCACTCATTATTTTTTCAGTTTCTACTAGCATTTTTATAGTTTCAAATTGCTAGTTTGTATTTGTGCAGTCCCTTTTTACTCTCCTTCCTCTCCGCCCCCGGCCTTGGTTTTCCTGTTTGTGTGAAGTTGTGGTGGAAATGAATTAGGAAAGGAGATTTGACGAACATGGATAACTTCACTTCCTAGAAGGTGCTTTATCTCTTCTCATAAAGTAATGGTTTGCTGCTTCTTTCTCAGGACTGAACTGCAGCTACAGAAGCAACAAGTGGACCTTTCAAGATGCATATTGGGCTGCGAGAAATGAAGGGAGACACTGGAGAGACCAATGAAGGAAGGAAGAAGCATGTTTCCTGGGTAAATAGTATGCTTCTGGATTTTAACAAGTTTAACAAGTTTCTTGCCATATCGGTTACCAGACTTTGCAACACCTAAGTCTCCGGAGCTATATTTAGTCTTTGCATTGTTGTTAAACATTCTTTATTTTCTCCTCCCTCCATTTTCATTGCTGAGCTCTTTGGTCAAATGATTCTTCTTTTTATTGATGAATCCAAAAATCTGCATTGAATATACAATTTAGGTGTTTTCTTAGATCACTTGATAGGAACTTCTTATATCTTAGGCTGACTGCTGGCTATACAAAAGTTGAGTTGTGTATCGTGTCTTTGTAATGTGCGGGTTTAGTCCGAGGCCAGCTTTTAGTCTGGGTGCGAGACTTAAACTTCCATTTCATTAAATGACGGACTTGAAAAACTAGAACACTACTTTGAATACCAGTTATCCAAGCCATGCACTCAGGCTGCCCTCTGGAATAGGAGACATTTTTCAATGCTAATGTAATAACTAAAGACAAAGCAGACCGGCAAATAATCAGTGTAAGTAGACCTGGCCTTCACTTGCTGAAGTACATGTGCCCTACTTAAGGTTTTTGGGGGTCATTTATTTATTTGAGTTGTGAACTCGGTATACTGAGTTCAGAATACATTCTCTTATTAAGCCACTCAACTTGTGCTCAGACTTCGGGGTTTTGTTGTTGTTGCTGCTGTTGTTAAAGCTTTTTAAGTAAAGGAAATCTATTGCATTATTTTTCATATAAAGTTAAGAGTTTTTCTTCAATGTACTGGCTAGAAATTTTTGGAAAGAGAGGGGGAAGAAATGGAGTCAGAGCCGTTGACAGTGCATCATGCTGGAAGTTCTGTGTGCGTCACCCTGACTTAGACAACTCTGTGGCAGCAACCACTTCTCCACAAGTCTGGGGCCATGCAGTCCGCAGATATGTTTCTACTGTTATAGCTTCTGGAACTTCCTACCTCATGGTGAATTGCCTCAGGGCTACTGTTAGATATATACCTTCCAGCGTGCTCATTCTTTAACTTTGAGTTGTAGACTGAATAAAAACCGTTGAGTGGCCTTGTATCTGAATCCTCTAAACTAGAAGTGGCATAAAACAAGCTTATTCACAAGTGAACTTTATGCACATTTTCTAGTGCTCACCTTCATGCCAGCTGTTCTCGTCACACCGGTCGCCTTGCTCTCCCAGTCAGCCCAGAAGTGCTCCTGCCCCAAATCTTCTCTTCTCAGGGGGGCTCAGTCGGTTAAGTGTCTGACTCTTGATTTCAGCTCAGGTCATGATCTCGGGGTTGTGGGATCAGGCCCCGCGTTGGGCTCCGTGTGGAGTCTGTTTGACATTCTCTCTCTCCCTCTCCTCCTGCCTCTCCCCGCTCTTTGCACTTGCTCTCTCTCTAAAATAAATAAATAAAATCTTTAAAAAAATCTTTTCTGGGGCACCTGGGTGCCTCACTCAGTTAAATATCTGGCTCCGGCTCGGGTCATGATCTCAGGGTCCTGGGATCGAGCCCTGCATGGGCTCTCTGCTCAGCGGGGAGCCTGCTTCTCCTTCACCTGCTCCCCCTGCTCATGCTTGCGCACACTCTCCCTCTCTTTTTCTCTCTCTGCCAAATAAATACATAAAATCTTAAAAAAAAAAATCTTTTCCTCTCAGATAGCTGCATGGCTCCTGCCCTCTTTCTCCTTTAGGTTTCTGCTGAGGGGACAAAGTTAATAGGAAGGGCAAAGCCAAATTGGAATCACCAGAATTCTCTGTTAGTCTCTGTGCTTACTACCTGGTAACACTGAGCCATCTTGTCTCGCTCCAGCTGAGCTCATCTGTCCCACTCCTCTCCTACCTATCAAGTACGATGTTTTCTTTATTCTACACATCATGCTTTTTCTAGTTCACCTTTAAGATCTTTTAAAATTGACCTTTCACTTTTAAAGGCACATACATTTGACTCCGCAATTGCATTTCTAGGAATTTATCTCACATCTAACCTCATACAGTTACGCAGGTAATGCTGTTCCGCCTCAGCCTCTCTTGAATCCCCATACATGCTTCCTGTCCTCAGTAGCCCTTGAGCAGAGACTGACTACCTCTTACTGCCATTATTTCACTGTGGCCAGGGGTCATGTCCCTTTCCAATAAAACTTAGGAAACTGCCCGCTTCTTTGCCTAAATTGCAGTGTATTGGAGACATTTGCACAATAGCTAATTATATCCCCTTGCAGGTTTCTTCTTTTGAACTCCTGTTCCCTTACACCAATCTTTGTCTTCCCATTCACAAATATCTCAAACGGTTACACTTTCTGCACTGTATTTTTTAGATATTTAGATAACTAAACATATACACATGTGCTGGTGGTAACTCTCCTTGGCTGCACACTAGAATAATCTCAGAAGCTTTATAAAATACTAATGCCTGGTCACACCCCCGGGGATTCTGAGACAGTTTGTCTAGGGTGAGGCACAGCATCAGAATTTTATTTGTTTTTTATTTTTTAAATAATTTTTTAAAATTCTGGTATAATTAACTTGCAGTATTATATTAGTTTCCGGTGTATGCTACAGTGATTCAGCATTTCTGTACATTACTCAGTGACGATCATGATAAGTACTCTTAAATCCCCCTCACCCATCCCCCTCCCCGTCTCCCCTCTGGTAACCATCTGTTCTTTTATAGTTAAGAGTCTGTTTTTTGTCCCTCTTTTTCTTTGTCCATTTGTTTTGTTTCTTAAATTGCATATATGGGTGAAATCATATGGTATTGGCCTTTCTCTGACTTACTTCACTTTGCATCATACCCTCTCGATCTGTTCATGTTGTTGCAAATGGCACCTCTAGAATTTTACATTTTAAATAGAAAATCCATTTATTTAGGTGTTTTTTTTTTTTTTAAGTTGGCACTATGCGCTATGTGGAGCCCAACATGGGGCTTGAACCCACGACTCTGATATCAAGGGTCAGATGCTTAACTGACTGAGCCACCCAGGTGCCCATCCAAATTTAATTAACACAAGCTACCTCCCCTACAATTTTATTGCCTTTCTTTATTTTCAGTTGTTCCAACTTCATGCATTTCTTTTTTTTTTTAATTAAATTTACCATAGTATCACTTTTAGTCTCTTCACAGAAACTTGTAATAGAAACATAAAACTTTTAAAGAGGAAGAGGCAGTGAAAAATCAGTTTCCTGCTCCTGTTCCACAGGCAGGCACTTACCTCTCCTAAGCAGCAACTCCTATCTGTTTCTTGAGGTTCCTTCCAAAGTATTTGTTTTTTGCTTTCAAAATAACTAACTCCTTTCTTTAAAAAAAAAAAAAAAAAGTTTCTCTTGTTTTTTTTGGTTGTTTCTCAATGTTACTAGTTGTGTGCTTAGTTTTTACTTTTTTTTCTTGACAAAACTCAAAGCAATGTTTGTCTTCTGTTCTTTTCATTATCCATGATACTTTATGTGGTGATTTTGTAACAATTTCTAACTTCTTTATTGTCATTTCAGAGCTTATCTCTTCCAAGCAGAATATTGTTGGATTTTGTCTTCTGTTCAACCAATCTTGAAGATTCTATGACTTACATCTAAATTCATCCTCTTTAATTCATGGTTGTTGTTGCATTTGTTCTATTTTCTGTATGTAACTTGTTTCTTGATTTTTATATTTCTTAGTTGTCTCTTTTCTGTTACACCTTCAGTTTTGGGGAAATGTTTTTCTTTCCTTTCAACTTTTGAACAAATTTTAAAGGTGAACAATCTTTCGAGTTTTCTTAGTGCCAGAAATAACATTTGTTTCTATATTTATTTACTATGATCAAAGCAAAAGCAGGAACTTTCCTTTCCTTCCATATAAGGAAACTCAGTTTCTCCCTGTTTTGGCATCCCCTTTCTCTATTCCTTATCTACCCCCTTGTTTTTTTCTTGCACACTTTGCATTTGTTCTGTGAGGTGTACTCATTCTTCTGGGCTTCAGCCTGGTACTCAGAAGTATTTTGCTATTCCTGCATTCATTTAGTTAATGACCACTGAGGCGTCACTCGGAGCTGGATGGATGCTGAGGTAGGCATCCTGGGAGCTGCTGCTACTGTACCAGTAGAGCTTTGTGAGATAGAGGATAAAGCAAAAGGGCTAGGGCCTGAAGGTGCCCACATTTGTTGCCCGAGTTCGTCAAAGCCTGGCTGGAGATGAGACTGAAAAAAGGGATGTCGGGCCACATTGTGAAGCGCCTCAAGTGTTTGACCAACAAGTTTCCATTTGGATCCTGTGGGCTGTGTCCCAGAGGCTTTAAAGCAGGGGAGCGCCATGCTCAGGTTTGTGTTCAGGAAGGTCTCTGGCTGTGGTGTGAAGTGTGGACGGCAGGAAGTCAGTGAAGCTGCTCTGGCAGCCGTCCAGGTAAGCGGTGGCGGGAACTCGAGCAAGGTTGTAGCAGTGGTGATGGAGAAGAGAACATGCCGTGTTTTGAAGCAGTGTCTAAAAATGCTAGTGTCTCGCTCAGGTGAGACTGGGAATGAGAGGCTGACCGAGAGGGGTTTTTTGGTTTGTTTTAGGGAAAGTGATAGCAGATGGTGGAAATATTGACCAACTTCTGGGGCGGGTAAACGGCGCCGAGGGGATTGCAGAGACTCATTTGGGAAGAGACAAAAAAGAGTCTGTTTTGGGATTTGTTGAACTCAAGAAACCCTGAAGAGATCTAGGGAAACATATCCAGGGGCAGTTGGAAACATGGGTCAGAAAGTCAGGGGTAGGTTGTGAGGGCTGGAGATAAAGGGGTGGGACATGCTTGCTCCAAGGATGTCAGAATCATGAGAATAGACCTAAAGCCACAGGTAGAACATGTAAACGGGAAGTAGAAGGGCTTAACATGGTCTCTGGGCAAAGACTGGTTCTTTAGGTGCAGGAAATTGAGACGTACTAAGCACTCTAGTACATGTCCCACACAGGGTGCCAAGAGCTTTTTCAGGTGACTTCCTTTATCTTCTCTATAGCTTGTATATGGAAATTGTTGCTACTCTACTTGGCCAGAAAACTAAGA